ATACATGAAAATTAAGCTATAGAATTCTATTAATTGAACGTAAGACCTTTCACTTATAAGTGAAGAGGAATATCACTAGATCGTAGTACTAAGTGGTGAATTGAAGAAAAGTTGAAATGAGGAGGAATCAATCAAATTCATGTTGAAACTATTTACAACATTTTATGAAATTGAAGTAGGAACGGTACTAATTCCATATAAGTTGTTTACTAAGTCACCAAATCAGAATGAAAACCAATATAATTACTAAAATGCATTTGTTCTAAATAAATTATAAAACCTTTATTCTAAATAAATTATTTTTATATTCTTATTGTTTTCAATTATTTTATAAAACTGTTATTAACACTAAATAAATCTCATTCTACATTTCTCACAAAGTGAAATTTTTTTCTTCTAATTATAGAATATTTGAAGTGCAAATGAATTTTTTAGAGTACCAATAACAATTTCTTTATTTATATACTAATTAATTATTATCCACATAATAAAACTTTGATTAGTTTTATTCATTTTTACCTATATATCTCAATAATTATTTATAGTCCTTTTATGGTTAATAAATTATGTTATAATTTTTTGGTTAATTATTATAATACAACTTGGCTTAATATTATTCATTTTACCTATATATTTCAAATAAATTATTTATAGTCTTTTTTTATAGTTAATAAATTATTTAATTTTTTTTGTTAATAAGTTATTTTATAGTCTAATTAATAGAAAAAAATTGTTAATCTTCTATTAATTTCTACCAATGAGCAGAGCTAGGAATCTTTTATGGAATGAGGACAACGTTGGAATAATTAGAATCAAGTGAGAGCATAATAGGTAAAAGAAATTCATTTTGATTCCCCACATGTTTTGAATTCAAATACCTCCCTTATCTAGGGAGTCCAATATCCAGTAATCAAAATTCAATTTCCTAAAGTGATTTCGATTATGGACATGTGAACATACCACCATTCCTTCCATTTTTGTTTTTTTTTTCTTTTTTCATTTTGCTACTTTTGAGCATCTCCAATGCTTTGGAAAATTTGGACTCAAATCTTATATTTGTATAATAAATATGAGTTTAAGGTTTCTAATGTACTGGAGATATATAACTCATATACAAGTCTCCGGCGAAATTGAGATCTAAATTTAGGTTTCAATATGAGATTTGAGTCCAAGATGGAGTCCATGTCGGTTATAACCTACATGATTGCTTAAAAAAAAATTTGAATACAACGGCTAGCTGACTACTTCGGTTGTATTCAATTTTTTTTATTTTTTATTTTTTGGTTTTTTGGGCCTTTTTTTTTTTTTGAATTCTTAAAAATTCTATTTTTTTTCCCTATAAATACCTAAACCATTCATTTAATTTAAGTTCTAATTTTTTTGGTTTTTTTGGCCAGTTATCGTTGTAGTTTTTAAATTTAAGTTGTTGGATTTGAATTTAAGTTGTTGTAATTTTAAAATTTAAATAATAAATTATGTTTGGCCCTATGACCCTTTGGCCCTTGGTTGGAGACGGTTTTTTGTGATAAGGCTAAAACGAGCCCTATGGCCCTTTAACCCTCGGTTGAAGATGGAGGCAAATATGACCATGTACTGTTTATTAAAATAGTAATTTATTGGAGGGTCAGAGGGTTAAAATGAGCCATCTGACCAGCCCTTGGTTAGAGATGGTTTAAAGCTCAAAAACACGTCATACTTCCGCAGTTTTTGAGGAGGAGGATGAACAGGATTCATGGGTTGTCATTGTGGTGTCACTGTTTACAGCACCACAATGATACTCAAGTGAAAAGCAAGGAAAAAATGGCAGTGCTTGTCTCGTGTGCAATAAGAATTTACAACACTCAAGGGACACCTATTGGCTCTTTCCAGGAAGCATCCTAGACGACTTTGTTTATTTTTGTGTGTTGATTCTTATTTAACTTTTCAATTCGATGTTTAAGTGAAAAGACGCAGGTCAAGTCTCCTCTCAAAAGCAAAGCACCTTCCGGCAACAAAGACAAAAGTCATCGTGTTACCGTACGGACACGTAATAGAACGGTCAAAAAACAGGAGCTGCTTTTTGAGGAAAACCAAGGAAATTTCCAGTATTTGTTCCATTGACTGATGAATTACAGGTCCACTTTAAGCGGTGCTTGACTTCAGTGCTTCATTAAACGCGTTCAACAGTGTAAATATACATGAAGTAGTGAAAAAAATCTTTTCCGGTAAAGGTCCGTTCCAGAATCCTACAAATGAAAAGTGTTCCTACAACCCTATCTTGAAAATTGTGTGTGTACAAAATATAGAACCGCATTCTAACGTCATTAAAGGGAAAACTGAGTTTCTACGAGGGGGAGGGAAAGAGGCAGGAAGGAGGAAAGTAATCGCCACCACTTTATATTATGCACACCAAATTACAGAGCAAATACATACGTCCCAGCCCATCTCTATCTCTTCGACACCCTTCCAGAGTTCTCTTTCTCGCTCCATCTCCCCGTTGCTCCCTCTCACTCTCCCCGACCACCCAACCTTCCTTTCCCTTGCCCACGGCCCAACGCCTTCACCAATCGCCACCACTTTCTCACCAAACTGCGACAAAGAATGCATGTTAAAATTAAATCTATGATCCAATTCACCATTAGGCTTTTAATAATTCCTTTTTTGGTTTTATATTTGTATTTGTAGTTTGGTTTGCAGATACATGACATCATTAGGTATTAATAAAACATTAAACAATATTAAATTAAGTAACATGAAACAACATTAAACAATATGAAACAACATTAAATAACATTAACCAACATGAAACTTAAACGCCTACTTTATGCTAACGTCACTTAGCCGTTGGATTTAAATTTAAGTTGTAGTTTTTAAATAATAAATTATGTTTGACCCTATGACTCTTTGACCCTCGGTTGGAGATGGTTTTTTGTGACAGGGCTAAAATGAGCCCTCTGGCCCTTTGGCCCTCAGTTGGAGATGGAGGCAAATATGATCCTGTACTGTTCATTAAAATATTAATATCTTGGAGGGCCATAGGGCTAAGGCCATTTCTAACCGAATGGTCCAGAGGGCTAGAAGGTCGAAAATAGCCTGAAAATCGTCTCCAACCGAGGGTTAGGACAGAGGGCTGGCCAGAAAATAGAGCAATCCTGTCGGTTATAACCAACAGGATTGCTTAAAAAAAATTTTGAATACAACAACTAGTCAGCTAGCTGTTGTATTCAATTTTTTTTTTTAATTCTTAAAAATTCTAATTTTTTTTTCCTATAAATACCTAAGCCATTCATTAAATTTAAGTTCTAATTTTTTTTGGTTTTTTGGGGCCAATTATCGTTGTTGTTTTTAAATTTAAGTTGTTGGGTTTGAATTTAAGTTGTTGGATTTGAATTTAAGTTGTTGTAGTTTTTTAATTTAAATAATAAATTATGTTTGGCCCTATGATCCTTTGGCAATTGGTTGGAGACGGTTTTTTGTGACAGGGCTAAAACGAGCCCTATGACCCTTTCGCCCTCGGTTGGAGACGGAGGCAAATATGACCCTGTACTATTCATTAAAATATTAATTTCTTGGAGAGCCAGAGGGCTAAAACGAGCCCTCTGGCTAGCCCTTGGTTGGAAATGTATTACTATCAGTTGGATTGATTTGAATTTTTTTTTTTACCAAATTTTTCCTATAACTTCTATTTTTCATTTTTTTTAAATTCTATTTTTTTTCCTATAACTTTTATTTTACAAAATTTGTAGTTTTTAACAACATTTAACAAATTATTAAAAACATTTCTAGTTTTTCATATTTGTTAAAAAAAAACATTTAACAACATGAAACTTAAACAACATTTAAGTTGTAGTTTTTAAATAATAAATTATGTTTGACCCTATGACCCTCGGTTGGAGACGGTTTTTTGTGATAGGGCTAAAATGAGCCATCTGGCCCTTTGGCTCTCAGTTGGAGACAGAAGCAAATATGGCCCTGTACTGTTCATTAAAATATTAATATCTTGGAGAATCTTGGAGGGTCAGAGGGCTAAAATGAGCCCTTTGGCCAGCCATTGGTTGGAGATGGCCTTAGGTTTCAAGAAAACTCAAATATGAGTTTTGATCAAATATTTTCTCTTACAATGCAGAGACTTGGATCGGAGAAGAAAACTACAACACATAAATCCACCAACTTTTTGAGACCCAAATGTAAGAATATAGATCTAGAATTTGAGTTAGCAGAGTTGGTCACAAGTGCTTCTAACGAGTCTGAAAAGGCTCGAAGACAAATTTAGCCCAACACTGATTAATGTATAAGTATCTAGCATAATCGTTAAGGAATGACAATCCCTATAATCATGGTGTAGAGAAAAATGATGTAGTTTTTTGAACAAACGATATTTATCTACATTAAGGGAGGTGGGAGAGTGGGCTAAGCCTTACAATGAGCTAGCAATAATGTGGTTCAAATTTTCCTTTGGTGATAATCAACCTAAAACCTCTCACTTACAAATGAAGAGGAATACCACTAAACCGTAATACAAAATGACATGATGTAGTTAAGAATACTACTTAAACATGTCTCTTAATTGGTGCCCTCATTACATCTCTATTAATATAAAGTTACAAACTAAATGAGGGAGATATGTGGGGTTTAAACCACAAATCAAAGAACGCTACCTTTTTGGAAAATTGAATATTGTAACTATTTTAGTTTGGATAAAAAAAAAAAATTGAAATCTAAAAACAAAAAGCATACAACTGAAAGCTAAAATTTGAAAACTCAAGAACGTAGTTTTTCACCTTTTAACCTTTAGTTTTTAATTTAAAAAAAATAAAAATAATTACCAAACAAGTTTTCAATTTTTATTAACTGAAAAAAAACAGTGAAATACTTATCAACGTCGCATAGAAAATTAAATAATTAATAGTAAAAAAGAAACAGAAAAGGGGAGTTTAGTAATATCGTGAAAACTACTAGGCAGAATTTTGCAATTTGGGAATAGTAGAATACCAAATATGCAAAAGAGAGGAGAGCGGAGAGATTGTTGGAGAAAGAAGGCAAACTCGCATCCGTCTCTTTCGCTCGACTTTGATTCCAGGGTTGACGCCTTGTCCCATTTCCCTTTATATTTCACGGATCGTCTTCTTCCCATCAACCAATCTGCTCTCGGAAACCCTTTTGCGTTCATCGGAAGCCAAATATCGCAGAGACAATGACGGCTTCTTCCGGTGAAAACTCTGTGGACAGGTACCATCCCTTCTCTCGCCTTTTCTCCTTCCCTTGATTTCTTCTTGCAACTTTGACTGGATATATAATCTGGGTTCTTATTATAATTTCAATGTCTGCCACTTCCAATGCCAGTTTCAGACATTTATTCTGTATAACATTCCAAGTTCAAATCCACATCTGCGTATATGCTTAATGCTTTTTGTTGTTTTTCAAATGTCTCTTATGGAGCATTGCGTTGTGATTGGTTATTTTTTGTATGGTTTGTATGAGTTTTACGCTAATGTTAGTTCGATGGATTGTTTAAATTTTCCATTGATCTGGGTTTTTCTTGTTATGTATGGATTTTGCAAGTTCATAATTATTTTGCTTATTCCTGTGAATTTGTGATTTTACTGATATTCTTGGTAACACGATTCATATTCGAAAAAAGAAAAAGGTAACAGACAAAGAAATCAAGTGGTTTGTGAATGGAGAATATGTTAGTAAATCATTGTCATCGTCCTCATCCTCGCCCTTCTCCCAGTCACATTGGGACATTAGTAGGCTATGCAGAACCAAATTGTTTGAGGATATTAAAATAATACTTTCAAATTAATTGGCATGTTGAACCATTTTCCATGGTCCTTTGTATGAATAGTTGTCTTGGCCAATTGCTATAGGCATTTAATATTTTTAGCTCTTCGGCTGAAAATGCTGTGTGCATAAAACTATACAAACATATATACAACAGCAACAACAAAAACAACAACAACAACAACAACAACAACAAAAAAGCCTTTTCCCACTAAGTGCGGTCGGCTGTATGAATCCTAGAACGCCATTGCGGTCAGTTCTGTGCCACGTCTTCTATTATATCCAAGTTCGACTTGTATGCCATACAAACATACATATTCAGCATAATTCGACTTGTATGCCATTGTTCTCTCCTCTAGTTGTAAGTTTTGCATAGACTGTATGTGTCGATTGTTCTTATAATTTTAATTCCGAGGAACCTCTTCCTGTGTACCATCTTTTTCTTGTTATGCCTTTGTTTCTCTGGCATGATTGATTTGTATTAGGAAGATGATTGTGGTTCTTCTCAGTTTCTCTCCCTACTGTTGAAGTTGTCTTTAGCTTTTAGGTGCAATATCGATCTGGTATCGACAGAGTTAATAGGAACTGACTCAATTCAAATAGCCCTAGAGTTAATAGACGCTGAATTAATTCAGACGCCCTATGATGTTTATTGCCGAACTCAAATTAAAGAACAACCTTACCTGATCAAAACAATATATACTATGAAAAAAAATTTGGTCGAATATGAACAAATATTTCAAGCCATTGTCTTTGTATCCCGTAGGCAGAAATTAGACACGTCTATACTCCCAGAAAGGAGGTAATGTGGACTAACCTAAGTCTACAAGGTTACGAAGACATAATTGTTCTCTACGGCCTTTTCTTTGTATATATTATGGTGTCTAAATTCATGTTCTTTTCATCTATACTGCATGAGACAGAAATGATTGTTACATTTGTTATTTTTTTCGTTTCATGTATTTGTACTTATGCCTAATTGTCTTTTTATTTTTCTTTTCTGTGTCTGTGGAACCAGCAAAAGTTCACTCTCTGGAGTTGCTCCACTTGAAGCAGTATTATTTGATATTGATGGAACGCTGTGTGATTCGGATCCAATTCATTACTATGCCTTCCGTGAAATGCTACCAGAGGTAGATGTCTTTTCTTTTTGTTTGGTCTTTTCCTTTTTCTTATGATTTGTCGGGCAATAAATTTACCTATTGTTACTCTACATTCATATCGCACTGAAAAGTGCAAAAGGTGCATCTTCCTTTTTATGAAAGTTGCTCATACTTTTTATAAACTTTATATACAACGGAAAGGTGTACTGAAGTGGGAAAATTAACAGATAGGTTTCAACGGAGGTGTTCCGATTACTGAGGAGTACTATATTGAGAATTTCGCTGGGAAGCATAATAATGATGTTGCCAGGATACTCTTTCCTGATGACTTCGAAAGAGGCTTAAAGTTCACAGAAGACAAGGAAGCCATGTTTCGCAGGTAAAAGCTTCACTTTCTCTGTGCTGTGTGCATAGCATTTCTTTCTGGTTCCCACCTTATATAATTTCCCTGATGGAAACAGATTGGCCGTAGATAAATTGAAGCCTGTGAATGGTCTCTATAAAGTGAAGAAATGGATTGAAGATCGTGGGTTGAAACGGGCTGCTGTTACTAATGCTCCAAGAGTCAATGCAGAGCTGATGATTTCAATGCTTGGCCTCTCAGATTTTTTTCAAGGTCTTGTCATTGGGAATGAGTGTGAGCATGCTAAGCCACACCCCGAGCCCTACTTGAAGGGTCTTGAAATACTCAAAGCGTCAAAAGAACACACTTTTGTGTTCGAGGTTTGCCTTTTCTCACGTTATACTTCGAGAGAAAATTAAATGGGGGAACTTCGGAAACTTATTTTCTGATTTTGCTAGGATTCTGTCTCGGGGATTAAAGCAGCAGTTGCAGCCGGTATGCCAGTCGTTGGATTAACCACGGGAAATCCAGAACACATATTAGTGGAAGCAAAACCCACCTTTCTCATAAAGGACTATGAGGACCCAAAGTTGTGGGCGGCATTGGAAGAACTTGATAAGAAGAGCGGTACTGGTAGCGGTACAAGTAGAGCATGAAAAGTTCTATCGTCTCAGTCAAATGATTATAAGCTTAAAGGGTTACTGAAGGATGATTTGCAAATGCAGTAGTAAACTCAAAAGGTTTCTTAAATAATTCTGTTGCTGGCGCACACTTTTATCCGTCTATAGCTGCAAATTCTTGATGCCGTAGAAGTTCTTTCGTTGATAAAACGGATGCTGTATTCTTTCGCGGCCCATTCTCTCGTAAAATTGAAGTACCTGTTGTTGATTTTCTTCAATGCGTGCATTTGATTCTGCATTTGGAACTGAAGTGCTCTGTTTCACTCCAAGAATTTGATTCTGCGGTTGGAAATGAGGTGCTCTGTTTCACTCCAAGAAAGTGAAGGGCAGAGAATGGCTCCGAGCGAAACACGGGAATACGTACTATTAATTGTTCCCAAAACGTTAATTTATTTTATATCAAATAAATGGATCGTCCATCATGAAACTATTAATTTTTATCTGAACGTTAATTTATTTTATACATTAAGATGACTAATTAATAATCACCAATTTGATTATTATTATTTTTTTTTTGCAGAAATTATCTTTGAACTTTTTTTTTTTAGTTGAAAAATAATCTGATTATGATAGTTGTACGGTTAAAGCTACAAGCTGAAAGTTGACTAGATTTAGTACTGGTTTGGTACTGAGGTGTTTTTATAAAAAATGAATATAAAAATAAGTTGAGCTTTAAAAGGTGTTTGGTAAACACTTGAAAACAACTTATTTTCATAGTTTTGGGTGAAAAAACCTGAAAACGTGAAGTAGCAAAAATGAATAGTAATATAAAATGTCGACGTGGCTTAACCGTAATCACACAAATAAGAGGGCACAGGAGGGCATGAGAAGTGGGAGAGCAGACAATCCTTGTCCCAAAAACATGAAGACCAATGTCAAACTTTATGGCCTAAATCTGCCATACTATTAGCCACTCTATTCTTCTCATGATAAACATGTGAAATCGAGCAAATCCAATCCCTGCGTAATAACTCAAATCTCAGTTATTTATTAAGTATCAATAACAAACTTAAATCCTTTCCTTCTACAACAACAAACGCAAAATAATTTACATCTAGAAAAATAAAACCCAAGCACAAATCAGAAGAAACAAATGTGAACTTTCTCAATTAGTTCCTCCAATAATATTTAGAAGGGTAATCAAATAAGAAGCTCTAAAATTTGGGATCGAAAATGAAAGAAGTCTATTTCTAAATATTCTGAACAATTGAAAAAGAATATCATTCGAAACTATACATATGTTTTTTTTTTTATCAATCAAATTTAACAAACTTTCATTTGCTGGCATGTACAGAAAATGGTCAGATATTACTTTAGTCTTAAAGTTTGGGAGGGCTGGCACCCTAGCCATTTCAATTGGGGATTTCATTTTATTTACGGAATTGCGATTGGTTTATAGAATAGGGTGGCTAAGTTTGTGCTTTGGGCCACCCATGCATTTGTTTTGGGCTTTTTTGCGTGGCCTGTTTCCGTGTCTAGGATTTAGGCCCACTTCGGTGTTTTAAAGACCGTTGTGCCCATCTGGCCTTTAAATCGTAGGGCTCCATGTATAACTTTGGTGGGCAGTTTTGTAATTCTCTTTTTCGCAGGAGTTAGTGTTGGACGGTCGGGCGGGTTGGAAGGTCAACCTAATCCTAACCCAACTTTTACAATTCAGGCTTGGGTTCGGGTTGTCCAACTTTTTTGAGTTTAATCCTGCAACAACTTAGTTTTCAAGAATTCCTAAAAAAAATTAAGCCAAGTAGCATCAAAGCTAGTGAACTTTATTTTCATAAATCAATCAAAGTTGCTGAGCAATTGCTTCGAGACACAAAGAATTTAGGTTTTGGAGACTAACAATCTACTATAAAGCTTTAGGATTTAGGGACTATGAATATGGGCTGACTAATCAAAGCCTCTTATTCGCTAAAAGCTTAAGTAATTATAAGGGATAATTTATATAAAAAATAAAAAGAAAGGGCGTTGGTTTTTTGACTTAATATGGGTTACAATTTGGTTAGATTGGGATTGGTTAATCAGGTTGGGTTGGGTTGGGGATGGACGGGCAAATGATCCACCCAACTCAACCCAATCAATGAACGGGTTGAAATTGGGTTGGGTTAGGGATGGATGGGCAAATGATCCACCCAACTTAACCCAATCAATGAAGGGGTTGAAATTGGGTTGGGTTCAGACGGGTTATAACTAAAAAAAAATTCACTTGTTTGGGTTTAAAGTCGGACATGGGCGGGTTCAGATTGACCCAACCCAAGTTGCACCCTTAGTGTTCGATGGGTTAGATGGGGGGGGGGGGCTTACACATTCGTGTTTGGTGAGGGTGGTTGTTACTTAGAGCATTTCCACCCCTAAAAAACTCCTTGGTTATAGGCAATTCAATCCCCCCAAAGTAAATAGTAACTACCTTTAGTGAACAGTAACTGTCTAAGTTTATTTTCATCCTAAATTGAATAGCTCAGACAATTCATATTAAAATATTATTAAATAGTTTTATTTATTTATTTATTTTATAAAATACTAAAAGATAATTTTATTTTTAATTTCGGATGATAATAAAAGATTGGTTGAAAGTATTTGAAAATATTGAAATGCGATGTAAGGTAGAAGAATATGGTTAGGTATTTATTTTTTTGGATTCAATTCTATTATCCTCTGCGTTTTCTCTTTGAAGGTGGGTTGTCTCCTTCGGGGTATAATCCGCGTTTTACTGTTTATTTAAGTTTAAAGCCATGCTTTTGTGTGTTTTTTTTAATGAATTAGGGTATTTAGAGAGTGTTAATTGTGTTCTCATTCTTTTGGTGCTTTAGAGACTTGCCTGATGTGATTAATATTATTATCTCTTTGGTTCGGTTCTGCTATCCTGTGCGTTTTGTTATCAACCTATTGAGTTTATTTATGAGCTACTTTTGTTTTGAATGATTAGTATAATTGTACACTATTCTTTATGTCATAACTTTGTCTGCAACATTGTATTATTATTATTTTGTTGAATGCAACATTGAATTATTGATTTCAGTGTCTTTGCGATTATAGACTTCATGATCACTATTATTCTGGTTGTATTTGGTTGATTTTGTGTACAATTTCATTGACATTCAAGCGGAAGAATGTAAACATAATTATGGGTATCAATGACTTGTCAATCAATCATTTGATTCTCGAGTAAATTATTATTTAAGTGACTTGATATACAAATGATTTTGCAGCCCCAATATGGCTCGAATAGTAGTCTTAACAATGATTAAAATCTCTATTTAGTAAGACTTATTATGGTAGGACATACAACATAAGATTGCCATTATGAGTATCTCTCATTTAATAATACGCTTGATTGACAGATATCCTAGCAATTACATAAGGATTGTCCCTGCTCTCACAATACAGATCCTATTACAATGCTAAACCCCATTCACTAGCAAGAGCCTTTAGAATGTAGAGTAAAAGACAATTTTGAAATCAAACCCAACCATGTCTTCAAATTCAAGCGAGAAATTAATTTCTTTTATATTTATTTGGTTTATTTAATTTATGGTCCTAATATCTTGTTATCGTGATTTTAAAAAATGTCTTACATATTTTTCTTCCAACGGTTCAACCATCCTTAAGAGATAATTATTATGACTAAAAACTACAATGTTATCCCTTGAACAGTACCGAACTATGCTCATTTAACGGTCTCGATTGCTCATTTAACGATCTCGATTACACAGGCTTAGGTCCAAACATTGCTCCCCAGTCTTTTTGAGCTTCGGCCCGTAAGCCGATCGATGGTTAAGAAAATTTATTATTTGCTTTTGAACTTGGCTGCCACCAAATAACTCCACCAAATACTTTAGCGAGCATCACCATGAATGCTGCAAAAAATTGATTGGCATCAGTGAATGATGGTCAAAAGAAGGCCGTATTTAATTGGCATCAAAATTAATTCAGGCCGAATTAAAAGTTCAGCCTATAATAGGCAGAATTTATTGCTCAACGAGTATTTAATATATTCTGAATTTGCTGCTCGGCCAACATTTAATACAAGCAAAGTCTAATACTAGAGAGATCAAAATTTTAAATTAAATTTTACGAACCAAATGATTGGATTATCACTTAAGTGTTGATTAACGTGCTTATTTTCTATTGGTGACACATAATTTAATTTGCAAATTTGGTTTACAAATTTGATCTTCCTAACATTATCCTATATTTAAAGTAGGCCGAATTTAATGTTAGACCAATACTTAATATAGGCTGAATTTAAAGATCTAGCAATATTAATAGGAAAATACTTGGGCTACTCAATGGGGAGTACCCAAAAGATTGACAAGCCCAATGAGAACAAATCACCTGTTTCAATATAAGTTCTATAAAGATGTAACCAAACACAATGTTAACTACACATCCAGACAACCCATTTCTTCCCCAACACCCTTCCCTTCCCAGCCTCCATCTCCTTCTTGTTTTTGCCAGTTTCAATGCCGGAAACCTCGTCTCCTCCGTCAAACCCACTAGTATCTTCTCCTCCAATCTCTCTATCATCTTGCCCCTAAACCCTCTTTTTATCGTAGCCATGGCAGGACCACTTCCCTCCCCTTCCTTTGTCGGAGACCACGTCAACATTGGCGTCGACTATCAAACTATAGAACGTATCCACAACCACTTCTCTGGCCTTCGCTAGAAACCATGTCATCATCGACGTCGATTGCATTCAACGACTTCCTTTTGATGTTGATTCAAAGAGAAAGAACGAAAGAGAGAGAAAATCCTCTGATGCGGGCGTCGACTATCAAACTACAGAACCAAAATTAAACTCATTTAAGTCTTGAATTTTAGTGCTCGCAAGTATACGAATTAGATAATTGTATAGCATATAAGCATGTATATCGTCCCATAGAGATCAAATTGATTCTAAAGTCTTACTAATTAAATTGAAACAAATTATATTTGAGAAGCTTTGACAAAAAAAGAAAAAAGAAAAGATAGATATGATTTGAATTAAACTGAAATGAAATACAACTTAAAAAAAATGCATAAAATATTACAATTAAAATATAGGAAAAGAAAACCTAGGGCATCCGAATTCACTGTAACCAATTCTACTTAATTCCCTTAATATGTTATGCTTAAGTAGTTCCCCAATATTGATGATCGATTTTCCCTAAATTATTCGAAGGCCATGGCATCTGGTTATATCAAAAGTATCCTTACATGTTAACCCTCTATGACAACTAGATTA